TCTTTTCTTTTCTTTTCTTTTCTTTTCTTTTCTTTTCTTTTCTTTTCTTTTCTTTTCTTTTCTTTTCAGGATTGTATTTGGAATCTTTGTGGCTCCATACAAATTTTAGGATTGTTTGTTCCAGTTCTGCAAAAAATGCTGGTGGTATTTGACAAGGAGTGCATTAAATGTGTAGGTTCCTTTGGGTAGTATAAACATTTTGACAATGTTTGTTCTTCCAATCCATGAGCATGGAATGTTTTTCCATTTCTTTGTGTCCTCTTCAGTTTCTTTCATCAGTGTTCTCTTTTTCAGAGGACAGATCTTTTACCTCTTTGATTAGGTTTATTCCTAGGTATCTTATTGTTGTTGGTGCAATTACAAATGGGCTCAATTCCTTGATTTCTTTTTCTGCTGCTTCATTGTTGAGGTACAGATGTTCCATCTATCTTTACACTTTGTCGAGGGTTTTTATCAAGAATGGATGCAATAGGGACGCCTGGGTGGCTCAGTTGATTAAGCAGCTGCCTTTGGCTCAGGTCATGATCCCAGCACCCTGGGATCGAGTCCCACATAGGGCTCCTTGATCATTGGGGAGCCTGCTTCTCCCTCTGCCTCTGCCTGCCTGTGCTCGCTTTCTCGATCTCCCTCTCTCTGACAAATAAATAAAATCTTTAAAAAAAAAAAGAATGGATGCTATATTTTTCAGATGCTTTTTATGCATCTGTTAAGAGGATCATATGGTTCTTATATTTTCTTTTATTAATGTGGTTATCATGTTGACTGATTTGTGAATATTGAACCACCCCTGCAGTCCAGGAATAATCTCACTTGATTGTGGTGAATAATTCTTTTAATGTATTATTGGATCCAATTTGCTCGTATCTTTAATTTTTGCATCCATGTTCATCAGGAATATTGGCCTGTGGTTTCCCTTTTTAGTGGGGTTTTTGTCTGGTTTTGGAATCAAAGTAATGCTGACTTTGCAGAAGGAGTTTTCCTTCCATTTCTGTTTTTTTGGAATAGTTTGAGAAGAATAGGTATTAGCTCTTCTTCAACTTCTTACCAGACTAGTAATTCTACTTCCAGCTTACTAGACACATCACCAGAGACAAGGAAAATAAAAGCAAAAATGACTATTGGGACAACATCAAGATAAAAAGCTTTTGTACAGTGAAGGGAACAGTCAACAAAACTAAAAGGCAGCTTATGGAATGGGAGAAGGTATTTTGGATTATATATATATAGATATATAGAGAGAAAGATACAGATTTCACATCAATAAAGAGTAAACAAAACAAAGACCTTGAAGTCCTAACTACAAATTGGAAGTATAAGACTTTCATCTAAAAAAAGAAAAAAAGACACCAAAAAAAGCATTTTCTAGCTCTCTTTACTAAACCTAATAAATAAGGTGTGATTTAAAATAAAAAAGAAAAAGAAGCTTTGCATAGTGGCAGTATCGTAGCCAATGAGGTTTATCTGAGGTGCAATTATTGCTAATTGAAAAAGAAAAGAAAAAAGAAAAACACAAAAACCAACTAGAAATAGCTGATTCCGGGTCTATGGAAGGAAATGTACAAAATAAGCCTAGAACATTTTGTCATTCCAGAGATCTAGTAATCTGTCAGTAAAGACTATAGCCATGGTAGTCGTCAACTTAAAAAGGCTCCAAACTGACCAATAATGAGAGTTATAAACATTAATAAAATATTAACTGCAGTGAATTGAAATATATTAAATATGTATAATACATACATATACAGGCATACCTTGTTTTATTGTGCTTCACTTCATTGCACTTCACAGAAAATTGTTTTGTTGTTGTTGGGTTTTCCTTTTGTTTTGTTTTGTCAAATTTGAAGGTTGCTCCAACACTTCATGAAGCAAGTCTCTTGGTGCCATTTTTCTGACAGTATTTGCCCATTTCACATCTGTCACGTTTTGCTAATTCTTACAGTATTTCAAACTTTTTCATTGTCATTATATTTGTCATGGTGATCTGTGATCAGTAATCTGTGATGTTACTATTCCAACTGTTTTGAAGTGCAATGAAGCGTGCCCATATAAGACAGCGAACTTAATCACTAAGTGTTGTGTGTGCTCTCACTGCTCCACTGACCAGCTGTTCCTCCATCTCGCTCCCTCTCGACGGGCCTCTTTATTCCCTGAGACACAACAATACTGAAATTAGGCCAATTAATAACCCTACAATGGCCTCTAATTGTTCAAGTGAAAAAAAGAGTCACATGTCTCTCACTAGAAATGATCACACTTAGTAAGGAAGGCAAGTCAAACGCTGAGACAGGTTGAAAGCTAGTCCTTGTGTGTCAAACAGTTAGCCAAGTTTAAATGCAAGGGAAAGTTCTTGAAGAAAATTAAAAGTGCTACTCCAGTGAACACACGAATGGTAAGAAAGTGAAAGAGTCTTACTGCTGACATGGAGAAAGTCTGAGTGGTCTGGATAGAAGATCAAACCAGCCACAACAGTCCCTTAAGCTAAATATAGGGCATGGCTTTGATTCTCTTCAATTCTATGAAGGCTGAGGGACAAGAGGAAGCTGCAGAAGAAAAAGCTTAAAGCTCACAGAGGCTGGTTCATGAGCACTACGGAAAAAAAAGCCAAAACCATAACATCAAAGTGCAAGGTGAAGCAGCAAGTTCTCCAGAAGATCCAGCTAAGATAATTAATGAGGGTGGCTACACTAAACA